TGTCAGGTTGAGGTTGTGAGGACAGCGGTGGGGGGCGATGTTCTTGGTTGTAGGTAGAGTCAGGTTGCAGAGTTAGCGACATCTGTGTCCCGCCCCTCGCTATGGGGTAGCAGTACTAGCGGAGGGGTCTTGGGTGGAATTGTGAAATCCCTGGTTGGCCGAAGGGGCCACGGGTGATCCCGGGGTGGCCAGAGGCCCCATTTGAGGTTGTTTTGTGTGTCCACGTCCGCTATCTTTCGCTGCGGGTCAAGCCATATGTCCTTAAATGTGTTCACTTCGTCGTCCCTTTGCTGTTGATCTGTGATGGTGGTTAGTGACTCTTTAAGTGACTTCCATGCTTTTATGATGTTGGCCTGTATGGTTTGTGTGATTTCTGTTTTGGCTTCGGGTAGACCAAAAGTATGTTCGCGACGCTCAAAGGCGCATCTTGCTCTCCATATGGTCATTAGGACAGGTAATCTTGTGGTTTGATACAGTTTATATTCGAACGCTGTCCAATCTGAAGTCGTGAGTTGCGGAGATCCAAGCAGAAGTGCGCTGGGTTGCCACGGTAGGTCTTTCCCAGTTAGTGATCTCCAGGCTGCATCCCACCATCTCCATATCTGTTGTGCCATGGGGCACTCCAGCAAGCAATGTTCCAGGTCCGCCTGTCTGGGGGGGGACGACCTCCCACAGTAGGCACAGATTGGAGAGAGGAGTCCTTTCTGCTCCAGTCGTGATCTAGAGACAAGCCAGTCCGGAGTTGGCAGGCAGCGGTGCCATATCTGCCATTGCAGTGCTCGGAGCGAAGTTGGCATTATTTTGGCGATTTTGGTCCAGTCTGGGATCGGGACTTGGTGATCCAGAAAGGGCGAGTCTCTGATCCAGCGATTCCTGAAGCGCTCGTTCATCGGTGCTCGTGCGTGGGTCGATCTGTAGCAGTCCTTGACTGTGTATTGCCAGATCGGTAGTGGTTTCTTGCCTTCCCATTGCCATTCCGCCGGGTCGAATGGGAGGGAGCAGATGGGTATTGTAGGTTGATATGCCCAGTAGCCTTTTTCTTCATCCCCTACCACTCTGATCCTTAGCAGTTCAGCCCACCCACATTGTCTGTCCAGATCCTCATTTTTGGTAAGCTTGGCGAATTTGGAACCGGGCAATGCCGTTTCATATGCTTGCAAGGTCGCCTGGGTTCCGTTTGTCTGTTGCACTTGGAACATGACCATAGGGATTGGTAGAATGCTGGATTACCCAGTCCTCTGCCCTGATCTCCAGGTCTCTTTTCAGTGCTAGGACCCATGACAGGGGGACTGCCTCCTGCAATTCGGACAATTTTCTTGTAGTTTCTTGGTGTGTTTAAGTTGTAGTCTGAGGAGGCTTGCTGTTTTCCATCTTCCCTGTCCCATGTCCCACAGGTCTCCCACCGTATAGATGCCTTTGCGTGTCCATGCCAGCTAGTGAGACCCGTGAGCCAGCGAGAAGGGATTCCCCCTTGCATCCACCACCTCTGGGTTGCCGAAGATTGACTGTCTCCATACCTCATGCCATCTTGATGGGGTGGGGTTCTTCTTGGGTCCAATCTGTCGCCAGAGGTACAAGAGTTCAGCCCAGAGAGGATCATTGGTCAGGTCTTCTCTAGTCCGGTCCCGGGTGGATGTATGCGGTCCTCGACCGGACCTGTTATTTTTGGCGGGCTTAGGGATGGTCCAATAGGCGTTAGTAAGCCAGACCAGGGGGTGGATCGGTCTGCTCGCACTTGACGGCGGGGCTAGTTCTGCCAGTTGCAGCAGTGCCAAGGGGGACCAGGGCACATCATTGGCCATTAGTAATCTGACTATAATCTTGAAGATCAGTGCCTTGAACTGGTCCCCCGGGTCTATGATGGCCAGGCCGCCTTTGGCACGTGGCTGCACCACATACTTTCATGCCACTCTTTTGATGGTTGTGGCCAGCTCGTGGTCATTTCTCAACAGGTAGGTTGCCAACACTCCTCTTAGTCTGGCCATGTTTTTTTCCCCAGGGTGCCAAAAGGCACTCTTATACCAGATTGTTGACAGGATGGCATTGTTGATGGCCAGCGCCCGACCCACCAACGAAGTGTGCAGGCCTTTCCATTTTGCCATCCTTTGTATTGCCAAGTCTACCAACGTGAGTCCATGGTCTTTGGGGGGGCCGAGGGCAGTGAGTTTGACACCTAGGACTCTAATAGCCTCCTCTTTTGGCTTCCAGTTCACTGCAGGTTGGGGGGGTGGACGGATCCCTCCTGGGTGCAGCCACCACCCTTCTGTTTTTGTACCCCAATTGACAGACATATCCGCTGCCACTGAGAACAGGTGGATGGTGTGTGCCAGCGCCTGCAGACTGTCCGGTGTGGCCTTAAGGAGGACCGTGAGGTCATCTGCAAATAAGGATGTGACTGGGATGCAGTGGGGTGGCAGTTCTGGTATGTCTATCCGTTCGATTGTCAGGTTAGATCTGATGAGAGTTGCCAGAGTCTCCATCACAAGGACGAAGAGGAGTGGGGCAATGGGGTCCCCTTATCTCATCGACCTTTGCAGGGAGAAGGGCGGTGAGAGGTGGCCATTTAGCATTATATTTGTTGATGCTCCTGAATGCAAACATGTGACCCATTGTCTGAATACCGGGCCAGAATTCATTTTGTCAAGGCACATGTCTAGAAAGCACCAGTCCACATGATCGTAGGCCTTCTCAAAGTCAATGAAGAGGACTGCAGCTTCTGCTCCCCTTTGTCTGGCGTACTTAATCGTTTCATTTACCAGTAATATGTTGTCTTGTATGTTCCGGTTAAGCATGAATCCCGTTTGGTCCATATGGATGAGAGCCGCCATGTGGGGCAGGAGCCGGTTGCACAGGGCTTTTGCCACCATCTTGTACGGGAGAGGGAGGAGTGTAATAGGTCTGTAGTTGCGTATTTCCTCCTTGTCTCCCTTCTTGTATATGAGGGCGGTGACTCCCTGCCTCAGCAGCGGGCCGAAGGTTCCTTCTTGTTGTACTGCTTGCACGTATTCCATGATGTCGTCCCCCAATGTTTCCCAGAAGGTGATCCAGAATTCTTTGGGGAAGGCATCCAGTCCCAAGGTTTTCTCGTCGTCCATGCCTTGTAGCGCCTCGTATATTTCTTCTTTGGTCAGTGGGCTCTCCAAGGTTTGTCTTTGATGTTGTGAGAGGAGGGCCCCTGGGTTTTGGAGCAGTGCTGTCCTTGCTTGATTCAAGGCATCTTCTCCCCATTGTGTCGAGTGCGAGGTGAAGAGGTCTCGATAATATAATGTGGCATAATCAACCACCTTGTAAGGATTTGTCGTTGTTGGCTGGTGGCGGTCAAACGGGTGTTTCAGTCCTGCGACCAGGTTTTGTCTAGCTCTGCTTTTTGCCTTTTGGAAGAAGGCTTTGGACATTGTACCCTCTGTTGTACCCTTGCGCATGCGTGATTGGATCCTCCAAGCTTCCCCCCTTTGGTCTAGGTAGGCCTGGAAGTGGTCCCGGGCTTGCTGCAGTTGGTCAAATGTGTTCATGTCTAAGGGGCGGTCTGCTAACTCGCTGTCCCATTCTTCCAATGACTTAAGCAGTGCTTCCAGGACTGCCCTTTTTTCCCTAGCATGCTTGATTGAAAATTTATTGACCCGTTCTCTCAACCTGGCCACCCCTTCATTAAACCATTCCGCCCGCGAGGGGTGTCGGTCTTTGCATGTGGACCAATACGCCCAGAACTCTTTCACCTGATCCTTAAGTTCGTCAAGCTTGAGGAGAGAGGTGTTGAGTTTGTAGAAGCCGTGGCCTCTTTCTATAAGGGCGTAGAAGGAAAGACCGAGCACGATGCATTATGGTCCAAGGCTCTGCATGGGCTGGCCGGACTTATTTCTGCCACTACCAGCGCCCCGATTAGGTCCCGAGACATGAGTATGAGATCTATTCGGGAGTTGGAGAGTCCGGCCTCTCCCCTGGATCTAATGCATGTGTAGGCTCTTTTATTCGGGTGTAGCAGTCTGTATGTGTCCACTTTACGATTTGGATAATTTTGGAGCGGTTCTTTATTTACGGGTGTCATCCTTATGCACTGGCATCTGGGGCAAGAGGCCTTGCCGCTCCTCTCACCAAATGTGGAAAATGCAAATGAATATCACCGCAGAGCATGGAAAGATACACCGCCACAATTTGTCTTTCGTGCACTTGCTGAGTCGCGTGGCGAGGCCCGAGGTCTCATTTGCCTAGACGCTCCATCCCAGGCCATTGATATGTTGATTCCATATGGAAAACCAATTAAACCGCTAGTACCTTTTTATGGGAAAAACCTACTTAACGAAGTGATAAGAGCAACCTCGATAAGCAGGCCCCAGCGTCGAAGGTTCCATCTATTGGTGCGGAGCTGCACCTGCTACCTTTCTCAGTTGTCGGTGCCGAGCCTAAATTCGAACTGCGCGCCAAAGAAAATCGAACCGACACGCTATTGAATTTGGTTGGCACCTCCAGCCATTTCGTCCCGGTAGTGGCGAGGCTGCCCACCCCCCGTGTTAACCGCCGCGATATTGTTTTTCAAGCAGGGAAAGATATTGGTGGTTTAAACCACCAGTACTTCCTCAACTTGTGCCCGTTAACAAGCCACAATTTTAGGAAACGTACGGGCGACTACAGGAGCGCCCAAATTCATCCGACTACAACTGTTTCTACTCTTATTTTTTCCCACGGCCGATAGCTGGGCCAAGTACTGGTGGTTTAAACCACCAGTGCCGGCAGAACCTACCCAAGTTCTCTCCCCTACACGTGGGGGGGGGGGAGGGGGGTCTCATTTCAATGCACCAGCCTGCCGGGCTCTGCCCAGTGCCTGTTTGATACGATTACTCAATGGGAAAATTTTCTTCAGGCTAAAATGGCCTCTCTATCACCGGTGCAAACCTACATGGCCTATGTAGAGATTCTAGAGAACCATAAGCTTTTTCTTCCTACTTTTTTCACAGAAGCAGTCTTCTCCGGGGTTGGATGCACTAGTTTTGGTAGGGGCTACCAGGGGGGTTGTTTTTTTGGGGGTTAGCTTCTTAAGTCGGCGATCAGGTTGATAGCAAAGGAGGTAGGTCCTTTTGGCTTTTTTCCGGGGGTGGATGCACTTTTCCGTTTTACATTTCTAGCATTCGACAGAGGGACCTTACGGCCTCCTTGGTCCTTCCTTGGGCCCCAGGCGCGAACGGTTTTTGGGGCTTCTACCGTACCTGACGAAGATTTATACAGCGTACACATCGGGTGCTGCCTCTCATCGTATAGCTGCGATCGTGCTGAGACGGTTGTATCTTGTGCGCAGGCGACGCCGCTGTTCCGCGTTCTGACTCCTGGGCTCCCGTTCGCTGACTTCCTTCTGCCATCTCTAGTACTTGCGATACCCTGTTCCTTTCTGGAACAGGATGCAATCGGAACGCTGCCGGCAGATTGTACTTCGTCATCGTGAGCCTTGGAAGCGAGGATTTGCGGTTTCTTTCATCTCTGCTGTATGTCCTGTGTGTACGTTTTTGTGCCTATCTCTGTGTGTGCAGGCTTTTCCAAGCGTTGGGCAACGTCTGCTGCCAACACACACGTTCCATGATACCGACAACGGGATGTCTTTCTCGATTATGTTGTCCCAACTACATTTTGCAATAATGACGGCTCGGAGACCTCTGTTGTGGGATGAACGTTTAGTGCGACTTAGGGAGCGACTGGGTGTAGGATAGTATAAAAGAGGCACGACAAGTGGAATGGCCTCAAGTTTATGAGATCTGACTTGAAGATTTCCTCCTGAAGAGTCTATGTGCACGGGGTAGATGGGTGTATGATGTTATTGAGGATTTCATTTTGGATATTCTGAGACTCAGTTCTCTTTTTTCGTGTGCTTGACGACTTGCTTTTTATTGGTGTATAATCTTGTGTCGTCCTCATGCTTATGCTGTCTATGCCAGGTAGTCCTCACTTTTCGATTACCGTGACAACCTCCAGTGAAGCCGTACATTGGGTGGTGGCCACGTTCAGCAGTGATATTGGATATTGGATATGGAGCATGTTCATTTACGATATGCTTTTTGGTTCCAGGAGGAAGATACATTGATCAGAGTTATCATCTACTTTAATGATGAGACTAATTCGATTAGGTTTTTTATGAGACAAGATTATGATTTTCCTTCTTGGTAGGATTATTTCATTTGATCCGGGCTCGTCTCCAGCTTTTTGCTGCCCGCCATCTCCCTACTACGTTTCCCTATTCTTGCTTGACCTTTGTCCTCATTCATCAGTTACGTTATCCATACCTTGATGCGTTTTGGTGTTTGTTTCTCGGGTCGGCATCCTTCCAATGGCTACGCACAGTTTCAAATGTTTCAATTGTGGTGGCGAAGGCCACTTTGCACATGAATGCCCTTCGAACCGGACGGCTGCTACTCCTGGTGGCAGGAATGCTGCTGGTAACACCTCTACGCCTGCGAGATATTGGACGCCCCAGCATAGCTACAAATTCAATGATGAATCGCAAGAGAAGGAGCTTTTGCGTCAGCTTATCTAGGAGAAGACGGAGGAGCAAGCGAAGAGGAGGGAGTTTAAGGAGAGAAGGAAGAAAAATGAGATGATTAGGCTAGAGATTGAGAGGAACTCGGAGGCTGTAGAGGCGAGGGTCATGTCTAAGATTGGGCGCCAGTTTCTCGAAGCACGTGAGAAGGTAAGGAGAGAAGAGATTAAGTTCACCCGTACACCTGTACCGGTTTTCAGGGAGACCAGGATCGGGGATTATGGAGATAAAGGGCTTGAAGAAATCGGGGATGAGATTGCAAAATTGTATGAGTTACGGGAGAAGAAACGGAAGGGTAAGATCCCATTCGAGGAAGGGCTGCGGAAGTCTTTCAGACAGCCGAATTTCCAGCGAGAATGTTCTGCAGATTATGAAATTGGAGAGTCGTCTCGAATGGCTGAAGAGCGGACACGAACCAAGGTATGTGCGGCCAGTGGTCCGGAAGGTGTGCTGGCTTTCGTACAAGCACAACGTCGACTTCTTATCCCTAAAAGCAAAGATCAATTGAAGCATGTTTGTCGGCTTGAAGGACTGACTTATACAACCGAAGGTCACACTATTGAACGGATCATTAAAGCCAGGGCGAAGCTTGCTTATGAAGGTTTTGTTTTTGCTCCTTCCCCTTCACCAGCAAGAAGTCAGGAGGAAGAACGGATGCCTTCAAATGATTATTTGATCACTTCCGTTTCCGGTTATGGGCTAATTTGATCGACTGTTTGCATTTACAATGCTCTACTTGGTTGTATGGTGCTCCCTCTCGCCTCCGCACTTCGTATGATATCTGTGTCACTTTGCTTATGGCAGCGCTGTCCTTTTTGGATGAGATCCGCTGGGTAAATAATATTTAAGTCATTACTGTTGTCTGTCAACTGGGATGCTTGGAGAACGGGCTCGGTGGTATACCTACGTACTTCGCCTTGGTGCAAAGCTCAATACATAGGCTGTTCTGTTAGAGGGATTTTCATTACATGGGGTGAACAAGTTCGGACGGTGCGAGCTAGGGGCATAGGTGTCTGTCCGCAGTTATATAAATGGATGTCTTCTTTTGGCGTGTGGCATTATGTACCTTTACCATTGGTTAATGGGGTGATATCGGTGGACCAAGCTGAAAAACTCTTGATTAGGAATTTCTCGCCTTCACTGAACTATCATAGGATATTACGCCATGCTAGACCTAGTAACAGACCTAGCCATGCAAAGAGGGTGGGATCGGATTTGCGACCGATAGAGTTCTTAGTTTTGAAGTTCTGACTGCATGATGGTGACTGGACAAATAGTTTGGTTGCACTACTGAGCACGGCCTACACTTGCGCGTTTAAGGATTTTACGATCGAAGTTGCACCGGGCAATCGGGGGTTAGATACTCGGTCGGTGTTGCATCGCATCTTTGGTCTGACTACAGTTTATGTTGAAGGTAGTTGTTTCCTTCTCAAGGATCTCAAGCAGGTTTTCCAACTAGGTGGTGAATGGATTTTCGGGTCTGTCCACTTTACCCCTATTGGTAGGAGGCGCACTTGGCACGTTTGTTGGTACAACCCTGGACTTGAAAACTCCTTAAGTTCAAAAGGGTTCAATGTCTGGTCCGATGGTATCAAGCGGTCCGTTGTTTTTCTGGTAAGGATACGCGTACAAATCCATGAGGCATTTTGGCCCGGGCTCTTGAACTCCGGATTGGGATCGATGTTAGGAGAAGGATTCTCGTGCAGCTTTTTATTACCATTGCTTATCGTCGTCGGTTGTACATTCTTTGATGCTTAGGGTTCTGAATTTTTTGGTTTTTCCTGAATCGGTTCTGTGTCTGTATCGGGTTACACTTGGTCTTTTAAGCGGTTCTCTATTTCCTGGGGGTCGATGACTTGTTTGTGCCACCTTGAGCCAACCTGGGAACGACTTGGCTTTCATGTCAGAACCCGTATCGGCCAGATTCCCGGGGTACCGTATCTGCTACTCAATTCTAGGAATATACCGCGATTTCGGCCTTTGTCCGGAATTGTTGAGTTGGGTAGACAACTGGTTTTGATGGTTTCCTACCTCCGATCCTCTTGGATGTTGGGTAAGGAGAGTTTGTTGGCTTGTTGGATGACTGATGACGATCTCCATCCTCAGGAAGATGTGTTAGATTTGCGGGAATGGTATGTTAGATTTCGCAATTTTATATGTGTACCGGTGGACCGGAATATCTCGGATACACTGGTTATCTGCCCGGTGTTGTATGACCATCATCTTTGGATAACGTTCAATTGGAGCTTGTCGTTCTCACCATCGGTGATCGGTGAGACTTCGGTTTTATCGGCTATGAAATTGGATTTCCAGGCTGATGGGTCTGTCTATTTTGGGTAAATGGGATTCAGCTGGTTGTTTTGGTAACGCCTATATTTTACCAAAGCATAAGGATTTGTCGCGATGGCGCCCGATTTCCTGACTTGTAATGAGCCACCTAGATTGGCCAGTGGCCGTGTTGCTTCGGCCTTGAATTGTTCGCTCTTCGCCTTCCCCTTTGATCCAGCTTTAAGCTCAAAGTTGTTCCTGGTGTTGTCCAAGGTCTTTCTCGAATGGACCGAAATTTCGACAGTTTGGCGGGTTATCGTGATCTGTTATCGGCTTCATTGGACATTAAAGAAATGTTTGTATCTTTGCCACATTCAGATATCACACATGTCATCGAATGGTTGCTTGCTTTTTTTGAGAACAAAGGATGTCGAGGGGTGAATGTGGCAAGGAGAGCCTGGAGAGGTAAGAAGGCCTGACTTTCTTTCCAAAGGAAGAAGGATGACTGCATCTTTGTTCCCTTTGACAACATCCGGGATATGGTCGCTTTCGATCTGCGGTTCACCTTTATTAACTCGGTGGGAGTTTTGCTTAAGCAGGTCATTGGAGTACCGATGGGGAAAGCATCTAGTTGCCCTCTTGCTTGTATTCTGTGCTCTTTCGCTGAGTTTAAGTTTTTGAAGAGTTTGGTGGCTGATCAGGCTCTTTTTGAAGGTTTTCGGATTGTTGATGACGTTACGGTGTTCGTAGCCGTCACTTCCCAGTGTGATGAACTGATGGCGGGCCTTTTACTTCACCATTTTACACAATGTTATGGCTCAATACTTCGGCTGGTCCTACGTATCTATCACAGGACAGTTGGGTTCTTGCAGGGGTGCAGATCCATCGTGTAGGTACCTCCATCAGAACAGTGGCGGCTTTGAGGAATGCACCTTCCATTTGGAGTGATGGATGCTTGATTTTTGGCTGTTTTCAGGACTATTGCTCCTGTTCTGCAAAAAAGGCCAAAATCGGGGCACAGGGTGTTTGTATTGATAGACTCCTGATTACTGGGATTGACATGAGCTGTTGTTTGCAATTAGGAGAGAACTGCTTATGCACTCCTACCCAACCCACCTGGTGGATTCCACGTTCTGGCGTTTCGGCAAGAAATTGGGGGGTGAGGTTTTGGAGGTGATAGGTGTGTGTGTTCCTACTGGGGCTTGGTAGGCTTACCAAGCATTGCGTCTCGACATCGGTTTCCGGTCCCACATACGGTTGGACAATTTCCATTTTTTTGAATTAGCGAATCAGCGGGGTGTTTTTTGTTTTTTGGAGTTTTTCGGTTTCCCGCGGTGGGTGCTTCGCAAAATGCGGATAGAAAATGAGGTAGGGTGTGTTGGCCTTTTCTGGGGTTGGATGCACTAGTTTTGGTAGGGGCTACTAGGGGGGATGGTTTTTTGGGGGTTAGCTTCGTAAGTCGGCGATCAGGCTGATAGCAAAGGAGGTAGGTTCTTTTGGCTTTTTTCCAGCGGTGGATGCACTTTTCCGTTTTACATTTCTGACGTACGACAGAGGGACCTTACGGCCTCCTTGGTGCTACTTTGGGCCCAATGTGCGAACGGTTTTTGGGGCTTCTACCATACCCGACGAAGATTTATACAGCGTACACATCGGGTGCTGCCTCTCATCGTATAGCTGCGATCGTGCTGAGACGGTTGTATCTTGTGCGCAGGAGACGTCGCTGTTCCGCGTCCTGACTCCTGGGCTCCCATTCGCTGACTTCCTTCTGCCATCTCTAGTACTTGCGATACCATGTTCCTTTCTGGAACAGGGTGCAATCGGAGCGGTGGCAGCAGATTGTACTTCGCCATCGTGAGCCTGGAAGCGAGGATTTGCGGTTTCTTTCGTCTCTGCTGTATGTCCTCTGTGTACGTTTTTGTGCCTCTCTTTGTGTGTGCAGGTTTTTCCAAGCGTTGAGCGACGTCTGCTGCCAACACACCTGTTCCACGATACCGACAATGGGATGTCTTTCTCGATTACGTTTTTCCCAGATGTGTTTACATCTACGTTTTGCAATAACGATGGCTCGGAGACCTCTGTTGTGGGATGAACGTTTAGTGCGACTTAAAGAGCGACTGGGTGTAGGATAGTATAAAAGAGGCAAGGCAAGTGGAATGGCCTCAAGTTTTTGAGATCTGACCTGAAGATTTCATCCTCAAGAGTCTATGTGCGCGGGGTAGACGAAACGCGTCGAGGGTTGGCCGCGTGTCGGTGGGCGTATGATGTTATTGAGGATTTCATTCTGGATATTCTGAGACTCGGTTCTCTTTTTTCGTGTGCGTGAGATCTGACTTGAAGATTTCCTCCTGAAGAGTCTATGTGCGAGGGGTAGACGAAATGCGTCGAGGGTTGGCCGCGTGTCGGTGGGTGTATGATGTTKTTGAGGATTTCATTCTCGATATTCTGAGACTCGGTTCTCTTTTTTCGTGTGCGTGACGACTTGCTTTCTACTGGTGTGTACTCTTGTGTCGTCCTCATGCTTATGCTGTCGATGGCGGGCAGTCCTCACTTTTCTCTCCGCACCACTTACCAAACGTAGAAAAGAAAAAAGTATAGTTCTAAAGCTTCTAGCGAGAAACCCATTCTTTTTTTTTGTTTTTAAACAAGCCAGAAATCCATTCTCATTTTGCACATTTGGTGCGTGCTGTGGTAAGGCCCACAAACACAGAATCACCGTAAGGGGGACCTTGTCCCTAATGAACAGTGCTGCAGGGCTTCGCTTCACCGCTTTTTTTTCAGGGCATACTGACACTAGGACAGTTGCAACTGCCTTCAGAATCTGGACATTATTGCAGTCAGATACTTTGAAGACTGGCCAAGATTGTGGCCACATACATCCAGGAAAGTCCGTGTGGGTATGCTCTTATACATCCCCATCTTCTGAGCCGCTTTTTCCTGATGCCGATGTACGCTGCCTGGCGATCAAAATCAACCAGCCCCAAGGATGTTTTTCTTTTTTTTCCCGCCTGGCTCCGCCTGCCATTTCTATCTGTTAGGCTGAGCGCTGCGTTCGATCTCCTGACGAATAAGCTCACATCCATTTTCCTCCTCTCCTCATGTTCCCTCTTACGTGCCTGCTCGTCACATTTTTCTTGGATCATCTGCCTCAGGAACTCCTCTTCGGTGTCCTCCTCCGTGCGTCTCGGAGTCCAAAACCTCGTAGCGGTGGGAGTGGAAGCATTCGCCCCACCTCCAGGCTGTTGTTGTCGCTGGGAGGGGCATTCCCTCGTGAAATGCCTCCCCCACAATTGAAGCATTTGTTACTCGGAGTCCGACTTCCCGCAGGGATCTTCGTGCGTTCCCTTTCTTCCCCCATCCTGCCTAAACACATTTCTGATAGGCTGCAATGGCTCCTTCCCCTTACACCTCTTTTTCTCACGTAGCTCGTAAAGCTTCTCAATCTCGTCTTCAATTTCTTCAATCCCACGATCTTCATATCCAGCATACTCCCTATCCCTGGTAACAAAGGCTGCAAGTTGGATGGCCGGAGACCGGCATTCCTCCTTCACTTCAGCGCGCGATACCAAGTACTGTTGTCCTAGTTTAGACATCACCCTCGCCTCCATAGCTTCGAAATTGCGTTCGATCTCTTGACGAGTAAGCTCATCCATTTTCCTCCTCTCCTCATGTTCCCTCATGCGCCTGCTCGTCATGTTTTTCTTGGATCATCTGCCTCAGGAACTCCTCTTCGGTGTCCTCCTGCGTGCGTCTCGGAGTCCAAAACCTCGTAGATGTGGGAGTGGAAGCATTGGCCCCACCTCCAGGCTGTTGTTGTCGCCGGGAGGGGCATTCCCTTGCGAAATGCCCCTCTCCTCCACAATTCAAGCATTTGTTACTCGGGGTCTCTATGATAGCATAACAAAGCACCAACCTGGCACAGAACTCGACGCCTGGGAGGAGGAGGAGGAAACCAAACCTGCCACAACGCGAAGGTTACCCAATTCTGGCTGAAGAAACCGAAGAGACGAATCACCAGGTCCGTACTTCCGCCGAGAAGGAGCAAAACCTCGTCACAGCAAACCCATATGATAACCTGATTCAGCAAAGTCAAGCCAAACCTCTGCAACCTAATCAACACACTACAATTTGAATACAGCTAGCACCTTCGTCATGTATCGCCACAATCCTAACAAGGGCGTCAACTTCCGGAAACCACAAAGTGCATTTAAGCAACACCCGATCCATCTTTTAACTAAGAAAGTCGGCAACATGACCACCACCCAGTGTATAACCGCACTGCAGGTTGTCATGCAAATCCGGAGATAAGGACAGCCTGGCGAGACTGCCATGAGAACGGAGAGACAACATGCCAATAAAATCGTTCCGTTATGCATGCATCCAAAGAAAACCAAACCCCGTGATCGGAGAGATGAGAGGCGAGAGAAAGCAGTGAAAATCAATCCTCCGGTAGCAAAGTGTATAAAGAGTAACAAGTACAACCTTGCGGCCACTCCCCGACGCGTTTCGTCTACCCCGTACGTAGACTCTTCAGGGGGACAAACCCACTGATCTCTTCAAGTACACGACCAGACCTGGGGGCCATACCTACGCCTTGCCCCCAATATATAGAACTACCCAACGCCGGTCCTTCGTCGTGCAAAGCACACATCCAAACTGCACCATCCACCGCCCATCCTGCCTACTTGAGAAACTTTGCAGCTCAAAGCCCATCCAGCACCAGGGAAAACCCAGTTAGAGTACCTTGCAGCCGCAAAAGGCAGAAACATACGCCCTGCCATGCCAACAACAGTTACGGAGGTAAGAGCAAAGAGAAGGGCACAGTCCTCGGAGCGTGTACGAAACCTGCTGCAAACCACCAATGAGCGGGCTCCGAGCAGAGCTGCAGATCTGGGATGAAAGTGACAGCAAAGCAAAACACAAAGGAGACCAGCAGGATGCGAGACTACTCGATATCTGCCATAGCTGAGCAGTGCCAGTGCCGCAGCCAGTGCAATACCCAACCGTCCAGTGGAGAAAACCCTTCGCCCACCACATGTTTGTGCGGAAAACCCTTCGCCCACTGCTGCTTATAATACCAAACCCGAATTCTACAACACAAGTAGAAATTCACTTCCTACGCTGTGTAGAGGAGTGAGGGGTGCATCTACCTGTGGCTGGTTCCACGCCATTGATTCCTTCCACCACCGCCCCCGCCCCCGCCCCCCCCGTCTCCAGGTCCCATGCTATCCTGAAGAGACCACCATAACAAAACAGAAAAGGAAGAAAAAGAAAAAAGAAAAGGAAAACACAACACTTAATAATTTAACAAAGAAGGAAGCCTGTAAGGAAACGCAAGTTGATGAAATCTGAGGAGGAAAGAAAAAAAAAAGGGGGTAACTTCAGTAGAGTCACAAAAACCAGTTATAACTGCACTATGGGGCAAGATACAGTTTGCATTTGCACTTCAGGCACCCTACCTGGCCAGAAAGCTGGGTTGTATACATTGCCCGAACTGCAATTTGAAACTGTATCTTGGCCCACAGTGCAATTATAACTCGTTTTGTGACTCCCGCGTAGTTTCCCCCCCAAAAAAACTCTCCCCCTCTTTTTCCAACCTACACACACACACACACACACACACACACACACACACAGAGAGAGAGAGAGAGATTGGTTGTTTTGCCTTAGAGAGAGATTGGTTGCTTTGCCTTCTCTGGTGGTTTCTGTTTGTGCATAGGATTTGCGGTGTGTTGCAGTCCAGTTTTTGGGCTTGACCGGTGATGTCTCGCTCTTCAACAGGACCGCGAAACTTTTTTGTAAGGAATGCCAGGCCCGATTCCTGGCACTGAAATATAAAGGGGAACAAAGAAAAAAAAAAGCAACTTGATGGTAGATGGAACTTCATGGAAGTACTTTGGAGAAGTGCTAGAATTTATTTATTTTTTTCTTAATTGTTTTCCTTCCTCTCTTTTCTCCTTCCTAGGGTGCAATGCTTCCAAATTACATCCCTTTCATTTTTCGTGAGCGGGTCTTTCCCTTCGCAAGACCCCACCATCTGACGACAAACCACGGCCTGTTGTTGTTCGGCGATTTTCCACATTTTCCAGCAACGGACGTTGAAACACTAAAGGTTCAAGACACCCTCAAGGAGCTGTTTCCACCTTTCTGTTGTATTTTCAGGTCACCACCTTTGCCCAAGCTTTTTTTTTTTTTTTTTGTTCTTAACTGAACTTTTCTTCTTTTTGACAAACGGGCCCAGTGCGCAAGGCTGCAGTATACGCCCGACGTCCCTTACAAAAAAGGGGGGTGGGGCGGGCCGTCGGAATGATCCAGGCACTGCAGACCTGTTCATTCCAGGGCCGCCCAACAATTCCATCACAATTCAAAAACATATCCAGGGCCGCCCAATCAGGCACAATTTTATTATTATTATTATTTTTTTTTTTTTAATCAGGCGCAATACCAAAACGACTACAAAAACTTTTGGGAACTGCTGAGGCTATCTCGATTTTGGCTCTCACCTTCGGGCTACTGTGGTCTTTTCTGTTTTTTTTTTTCCGTTTTGCCTACTGTGTTCTTTTTCCTTTATTGAATATATATTTTCCTGCTCCTCAAGCTCATCTTCGACTCAGCCTTTCTTCGAGGAATCCCTCTTCTTCTTCTTCTTCTTCTTCGTCGTCGTCGTCGTCGTCTGCATCAGTTCTTCGACTTCTCTTCTTCGTCTCCTCCTTGACCTGCCTTATTGTGCCAGCTCTTCTTCTTATTGCAAGGAAAATGAGAGATAGCGAGATGACAGAATCCAGATAGCACAATCACATTGAAAGCAAGAAAGTCCCACACGGACCCACAGTGTCCAGAAAGCAGCACTGCACCAATATTACACCAATGGAGAATCGAAACACTGAAACCAAATATCAATGAGAGCTTACTCTCGTCCCCACCAACATACGTATCCAGGCCCTCTCTCCCTACTTGGCGCGCAGCGCCCAGGCTACTCCCTACACAGCTACTTCCTGCCTACGAATTGACAATGCAACTGTTGAAGTCAGCAGCCACCGAAGTACTTGAAGATGTCGACCAATGCAGACCATCGCCAATACCAGTTATGCGCCCTCACATCATTATCCTCATC